GTGTCTCGGCATGTATTTGGTTTCCCTTTTACAATGGCCAAAAAGTTAATCTTGAGGACTGAGGCTTTTTGCCCATAAAATATATAACCAATTCTTTTAGGCCAACTTGCCAATATGTGGTACGAGAATCCAATTTCCACAGTTTTCGACTAACCCATATTTTTTATTTCAATTTACTTTTTCTGTTCCTAGATGTTATGATGTTATTAACTGACTACAAGAATAAGTTTCAAGGTTTTTTTTTTTTTTTTTTCCCCCTTCCTCATATTGAATCTATATTAAAACACATGCTTTCTAATAGGTACATCATTGTGTAGCATTTGCTAAAATTTTATTTAGTAAAACTATAATACAAATTACTAAACTTTTATAATCTCATTACTAAAAGAATACAAATTATCTTTTAAGTTTATATTATTGCAACCAGTATGTTTTAATTTTTCTTCGTTCCTTGTTTTAAAATACAGTACAAAGTTCGAAATCCAGACTCGTCGGGACTTCGGCGATTCCGGATTTTTTTGGATATTAGATCATCAGTTTAAATCTAATAAGATGACACGTATAAATTATAAAATTAAAAACATAAAATCATGATTTATGAAATAATGAAGTATTTATGATCTAAAGGGTATCAAAATTTATAAAAAAAAAAGCTTAATATTTATTTGTTTACCTTATTAGACATTTCTTTCAATGCAAGTTGTTTAAGTTGCTTCGTTTTTTTGTGCTAATACTTTCTCCTTAATTCTGTAGACAGACATAATCTCTTGTTTAGTTACATAGTTAAAGTCCTGTAACTGCTGTATGGATAATTCTGACTCACTTTCATTTTCAGTAACCTCTCTATTACTTTCTTCACTATCGGTAATGGTATTTTCTTGATCTAGAACCATACTACAAATTTCGCCATTCATTAATTGATTGATGATTGAGAAGCATTGTCATCACAATGAAAAATTTCTTTTATATCATCTTCATTTATTACCGCTTCTCCACATTTCTTTACAAAATCCGTTAATTGGAAAATTTCACCTTTGTCTTGCGATATCTGAAATCCATTAAAACTAGTGGCATACATCATCAAATTTAGCTATCCTTCACTATACATATTTGGCTATGCATCATAAGCTTGGCGACTAACAAGTTGTTCCATTAAATTTTATCTTGCTTCTATCCTGCACCGAGACAAGTAAGCCTGAACTGCATCAGTTTAGTTATTTATTATATTTATGTCTATTTCTTGCACATGCTTAAGGCTTATCAGAGTTCTGAATAAACAAATTCCCACCATATAATTAAGCCTTATTGAGGGTCAGCGCTAGATATCTTACCGCCTGATGCAGTCTCTGTATGTCCTAAATTTTGCGATTTGATGCAGCCATACAAGCCCTGGCGCTGGTTCTGGGTTTGTGTGAATAACAAATCAGTTATTCTTAATTCAAATAGCCCTAAATGTAATCTTTGGGTATATGCATATCATCAACAAAATCCATTTTTAGCATATGGAAAGAAATTTTTGGTAAACTTTTCCTCGACAACATTTTTTAGCACATTTAACTTAAATCTGTAATCATTGCCAAGCATAATGTCAACATAAAAGGTTACCATACTCCTTTATTATTCAATTACTAACATAAAAAAATGGTTTAGGCATCACTACATGAGTCATTACTCAAATTGTCATGTTTTGATAAAAATGTGGTGATGAAAGAAAAGAATAGTAAAAGTCAGAAATCCGCAAAGCTTGAGACCAGAGGTTGTGCGGATTTCAGGACAGAAAAGATAAGTCATAATATTCAGACTAAAAGTGCAAAATAAAGAAGGCGTATTCAATACATTTAATTAAATTATTGTATATATTATTACAATAATTTATTATATGCATTAAATTATTATTACATATATAAATTGATTATATTATATTAGTCATTTACATTAGGCTCCTCTATTTTTAAATCAGCATGGATCTGCTTCCCATTTTCTCTCAGGAGCAGTCCTGAAATTGGTTATCCCATCACTCCACCGCTGCCGGAACCACTCGTACAGGACAGCATCAAGATTTGCCGATTTCGCCTCATGTAAAGATTTCCGGTTTCAGATTCCTGTGTTAGAATCACTGTTGCTGTAAAATTTCAGCTGTAAATTTTCTTTATTTTTCTGTATATCATACACAGTCCGTGTTGTCACAATTCCATACGATTCTGCTATAAACCGAGAAGTACCACCTGCCTAAATCTTTTGCAGAATTTCCACATTTTGCATTACCGTCAATGCAACGTGCTTACGTTTTTCAATGTTGCAAACAATAAAATCATGAGTGTGCTTCTTATCTGTCATTGTATTAAAAAGCGCTGAAATTTAAAATATTCTTAATTTATCCACAAAATATCTGGATAAAAAAAAAGGCTGCACTAAACAATCTTGTGAAATAACAGAGCTCAGAAAGTACAACAATGTGAATCGTAAATGGAAAAGTACAACAATGTGAATCGTAAATGGAAAGAAGAATTGAGTGAATTGCCTGCTTTTTCACCTCTATGCAAATTGGAAGGAAAAAAACTTTTATCATAATGTCAATAATTTGGTATTTCCTTTATGACTCATTATTATACGGTAATTATGATGTCATTATCCGGTAAGTATTTTTTCTTCAATATTTCATACTCCATGTTGCGGTTTCCAGAACTTATCAACTAAATGTTTATATTTTGAGAAGCAATGTGGATTTCAGGAGTTGGTGGATTTTCAGTATTTGACTGTAGAATAAATAATGATTTGCCAGGTTGGCGTCAGATCAACGATGTATCTATGTGGAATGTTTCAGCTTGAGATGTGTGCCAAGCAGATACTTATCAACAGAGCCAAATTACTGATTGTACAAATTTATGCTAAAATGATTGTTTCTTCAATAACAAGGTATTTTATTTAGTGTCGAAGTGAAATAGAATAGGGACTCTCCAGATGTTTTATTATGCACTGAGGGGAGAATCAAATGCACATGAGTAAAGCCTATGAAAAAAATGTTTTGGGTGGTTTTGAGGTCCAGATTCTAGATCATTCCGGATAATGGACGTCCAGATTTCGGACTTTGTACCGTATACTACAAAAAAAAAAAAAAAAAAAAAAAAAAAAAAAAAAAAAAAAATCCTTCCTGCACCATCCTTGTTTTAAAATAGATAGTTTCTTTATTAGATCATATGGAGAAAATAAGTTCTAGAGCAAATTTTCAGATATATAATAAATATGAAGTGTAAGCTATGTAAAATGTTTATTACTACATGCAAATTAAAAAAAAAAGCAAACAGGGATATTTTATATAAAATAAGTTTACTATTCATGTTTATGTGTGCATGTTTCCAACTCCTGCTGTATACTGAGACTAGCATGCACATTTGCATGCTGTTTTCAAAAGCCAACATTACAAAGGTAATAGTTTTGTCTCTACAGCAGCAGTTCTCAACCTTTTCTTCCCCCACCATTGTTAGATGATCATCATATTCAAAACTCGAAAAATACATATATATATTTATTTAAATTTATGTTATTTTTATTGTGTTTTACATTAAATTAAACAAAGAAGTTTATAAGATGTTGATAAGTACCAAAACTTGAATAAAAATACTTTTTTCATACTTATGCAATAAAACTAAATAATTAGCAGTTAAATAAATGGTACCCCACATTCCTCACTAAAAACTATAAAATCCCCTCCAGAAGTGGAATAAGTACTTTATTTCTGATATATGAATATATTATTTACACATAGTTTATTACAGGCACATTTTATTTTTGATTCATGAATGATTTTTCACATATAATTCATCTAAAATTGAAGTTTTCTTTCAAATTCTGTCATAAAAAAAAAAAAAAAAAACAGTTTTTGGATGGTTTTCTGAAGTTAATTGTGCTGAGTAGTGATTATCACAGACAGTACAATCTTACGTAGGATTTAAAAATGAGCCTACCTATTCTATCACAGTTTCAGATCACCAGGTTGCTTAAAAAAAATTACAGCTATTACTATAGTAATCACACACAAATACCAGCACATGCACATGCACGCAAAGACCTTTTATTTCTTAGAGAGAATAAAATTTAGATTATTTACCCTCTGAATGCTACAGGTTTGGTCCTGACACCCTAAAGTTCAGACAAATGTCGGGAATAAGTGTGATTTTCTAGATTACAATTCCAAAATAACCCTTTCACTTTGTACCTTAATTCCTTTTCTTCCACTATACATCCAAACTGAATCCATCATGTAGATGGCAGAAATTTTCATATGTAATAAACTGGGAAGCCTTCCCTCTATATGGAATTTTATATTAACATATCCCTTGGAGGGTTAATCAATATTACTCAGATTTAAGATTTTATATTTCTTATGGGATGGATTTTGTTCTTGTCTAGCTCATGTGCCTAGTTTAGTCATCAAAAGTTTTCTATCTCAATATACAGCTATATTTTCCAGTTGGCTTGATCTACTTCTTGCTTTAAATTAAGAAATAATACACCAATTTCAAGGAATAAACTGAAAAAAGAAAGTAAAGAACAATGCATTTTTTAATATTATATATGCTCTAAATTTAATCCAAATTAATTTTAATTGTATTTTGTTAATTATATAACAAACGGGAAAATAATTTTTTAAAAAAAGTAGCACCTTTTTTAAAAAATTAACTCTTGTTTCATAATATCAGCAGTAAATTAAGAAGGTTAGCTTCAAAGACAGGCATAAAAGAATAAAACACTACCTACATTTATTACTCTTTCACTTAAAACAAAAGTAACAGTTTTAAAATTTTACTTCGGATTTTTCATGTTTGCTAGCTTTAATCCACTACCATATTAAATACCATATGAGGAAACAAAATACCATACGAAAAGTATACAAGGACCTATTATCTATTGTTATACAGCATTTGCCTAATAATTCCTTAAAATAGTATATTTACATAAGGTAAATAAATTATTCAAAAGTAAGCTAACGTGAAAAGCACCTTTTGGAAATAATTCCCAGAACATCCAGAATTTTTCATAATTTACAGATATTATTAAAACCAAAATAATGTAAATGAAAGCTTTTACGTGAAGCAACATCAAAATTTCATATCAACAATACCAACAATAAAATATTTTTACAGACGAATTTAACAAACGTTGCCAATATTTGAAACTTTGCACATTAAATAGTTTAACGCATTTGATAAATATAATTTACAATTTTTTAAATATGATTTACTTTATGCCTCTCAGCATATGAGAAATTAAATAAATGATTTTTATACCAACATTTATTTATAGAAACTATCGAGAGAAATAATACACTATTTAATTTACTTTCAGTTTGGCAGTAATCATAATCGTGAATTACTGTTGACAGATGTATGTTAGCAGAAGAAACGTATGTACTGTTATGTATACGTGTTAAAAGTACATATTTGAAATAAAATATGGCCTTTTGGGTTTGTTTACTAAAAGAATTCTGTGCCTGTACATTAAGTGCTACAAAATCAATTTTTCTTTCTTTCTTTCTTTCTTTACGTACTAAGCATAATCACTAGTTTGTGATTTTGTAATGAACGAACGAACATTAGTTATTCGTGTCTGTTCCACAAATCACTGTTTGTAAAGTAACTTCTCTTAGCGAATGAATTGTACATATTTTTAAAACTTTGTGGTAATGAAATAAGAGATTCAGAACTGTGAGTTTTTTTACTTATACATATTTTATTGTCTTTTGAGTGAAATTAGTTAACGCTGTCATTATTGCGATATGAATGAGTATACTAGCATGAGTATACCAGAAGTGCTTATTAATACATTCTTAGATTACACATCGTTTTCTGTTTGAGCGATTTTTATACTTTCTGTCTATAAGAACACGTACATGTCTCTTGATAAGTGGCTGTTTTTTAGGTTAATTTGCCCATTTGTTAAAAATGACAGAAAAAGATTCTTGTCCGGTGAGTTTCATAGTTTTATATTGTCTTTTCTGATTGTTATTTAATATTATTTTATATTTTTAAAGAATGCCATTTTAGAATTTTAATATTTAATGAGGATATCTGTCTGCGGTCATTTTCATATTTAAGTTAATTCGTTTCAGGAATGCGGCTGTTTGTGTAAGAAATGTGTTTCTTCATTAAGGTAAGTGTTATAAAACATTTTTTTATCGCGTTTATTCTTGGTTTATAAAATAAAAGCAAATGCTTAACAGAATTTCTCTTAACATTAGTCAGCTGTGATATAGTAAAAAGAACAAATAACATCCATTAGTGTATTCTAAAATAAGTTGCTAATTAAAAAATATAAATTATTTCTGTCACCTAATGTAAAATTAATTTCATTATGTAAACTATAGTCTTGTACCTCGTAAAATATACCTCACGTAAGGTTTTTTTTTTGGTTTTGCTTTTAATACATTTTAAAGTGATTACATTAATTGTTACTTTTCTTATTCTGCCTTCTCTGCCTATATATATTTATGAAATGAAGTTTTTCTGGCGATTTAAAAACAAGCGTTTTAAAATCGGAGAATTCAATTCATACAGTATTTAAATTCCCAGCTTTAATATTGCTTGCTGATATATCATGGTGAAGAAGGAGTTAATTTTGGTGCTGATTGTTTGCCAAAGCTCTACTGTGTAATCCATATCATTAAAAAAATGTATAATAAATATAAGAAATTTGGGATTTTTTTCATTCTAGACCAATGTATGTAAAACAGTTTTCTGTAAAAAGATATATGTAACCAAATCTCTCAAGTTAGAACAATAAGTAATAAGAATAAAAAAATGACACAATTTAAAAACATTTTATTAGTAGTAATTTCAAATCAAACAATTTGATAATACAGTCAAAAGTCGTTAATTCGGACACCCATAATCCGGACCTCAAAGCTACAAACTTTCTGCGCATGCGTCACGTTCACGCATGCGCACAGGCGTTTACGAGAGCGCGTAAGGCCCTTACGGCTGCGAATATGTTTGTGCGCATGCGCGTTTAATGTGTAACGGAGTTATACGCTAAGCTAAAGTTATCTAATTTAGTTAATGTTGCAGATTGCGTTGTTCCTTAATCTTCGAAATGGATCCGGCTTATTATTTTTTGCAGATGTTAGAGCAATTTTATAAAAGTAAGCTTGAACTTTCGATTGTGTCAAATAGAATTTCCGATATATATTTACTACAAAGCGAAAGTATGTTTTGAAATCCGAAATCTGTTTATCAATTTCACGCCGCGGATTGGAAGTTGATCTGTCAGCACTATCCTTATCTTCAGGGCAGATGTTTTTATTTTATTTGGTTTATAATTCCGTACTAAGTGTAGTATTTCATTTCGATGTACTCCGTCTTTGATATGATTTAAATCAAGTTCCTCGTCATTATAATTCGCTTCTGATAAGTGAAGAAAGTGACCCAGAGGTTATTGAAAATGAAAACGGTTGATCTTTACATTACGGTAACTTGGCGATTTTTTGGCGAAAATTTGGCGACCAACTCCTTTACAGCAACCCTCTATTTTTTTTCCCCGCCGCCATTTCTTCTTCACGAAGTAAAGACATGTTTCTTTTCTTCTTATCTACTGAACACTTCTTCCAACAATCTACTAGCCGAATTACACTTATGCTAGAAATTTTATCAAACAAAACTGCTTAATCATGACAAATATTCACTGCAAAATTCGGAAAAAGTGCACAATACCATACACCTTACGCGTTTTTCAAAATAACACATACACATAAACCATGTACACGCCGACTTATTTTTACTTAAAAAAACATCCCAGAATTGCACAAAAATGGCATTGCGCACACTCTTCACTATATCCATGTACACTGCTTTTTTCTCATAAATTCGAAAAATTTCACGAAAATACATGACAATTTTCTCAATCTTTAAACCCGGTAAAAAGAACATATATGAAATTACCTGGATCGCGAAAAAGTATTTACCCTTTACAAATATGAACATTTCCACATATAAAATAAATAAAATATCCAAAAACTTTTACCTCTAAATCATCTATTACATTATACACGTCACCAACGAATTCATACATGAAAGCATTACAAATATTTAGTATCAAAATTTTAAATTATTTCCATGCACGTTTATTTTCAACTTAAATGTAAACCAAATTCCTACAAAACATAAAATTCACAAAATAACTATCATTTCAATTAAAATATCACTGAAACCATGTACGCGTCGACTTATTTTTACTAAAAAAAACATCCCAGAATTGCACAAAAAATGGCATTCCGCACACTCTTCACTATATCCATGTACACTGCGTTTATCTCATAAATTAAAAAAATTTCACGAAAATACCATGACAATTTTCTCAATTCTTTAAACCCGGTAAAAAAAGAACATATATGAAAATTACATGATCGCGAAAAGTATTTACCCTTTATAAATATGAACATTTCCACATATAAAATAAATAAAA